TGGCATACAGTTAATTTGATTTACATCAAATCTCTTTTCTAGACAAACTTTTAGTACTAAAGTTGGTTATAATAGTTTTTCATAAGTCCTTAGGGTTTTTTGTATTTTTTTAAACATGTCTTATTTTCTTGACTAACGTATGTTTGGTTTTTTGTAGTGTGGAAGGAAAGTTTCGGCAATTTAATTTACAAATAAATTGGGTATAGGATTTCCTTCCCACTGGTGCCTAGAGTTGAGAACAGTGGTTCTCCTTGTGCTTTCTCCTCTAGTGAATTGCTACCCTCGAGAAAGCACAGACCCAGAAGATCAGTCCCCTACAGGTGCTGGAAGTTTCTGTCATCCGTAGAGTAACTTGGTCTAATTGAATTCATTAGGTAACCAGTTCCCCCAGATTATAGATGGGAAATAATTTCTTTATGCTTTTGAAATGGTTGATTTGGGCATGTCTTTTAATATCTAGTGAAAAACGGAGAGCAGAGAATATATTGAGGATATTCTTAGATCCTCTTCTGGATGCCCTTATGAAGTTTGGTACAAATGCCTACATGCCCTTGCTGAAAACTGACAGATGCCTCCAGTTGCTGTTGAAGTTGTTGCACACTTCCATGTTGAAAGGTTCCAGTACCCAAGATGGTGAGGATAAGTAGTTTCTGTTGGTGTCTTGCTTGGTATGTTGTTGGTATTTAGAATGAGAAGAAATTCCTGGCCTGTTAAAGTAAAAAGAAAACTTTATTCAGCAAATATTTGTGGATTGTCTCCTGGTGGTGCCAGGGATACAGTGGTAAAAGAGTAACTCTGCCCTGTCAATGAAGTTGACATTCTAGTGGTTTACATACGTTGATTGTTGTTGACGTTAGAATGCTATTTCATTTACTTTTTTTTTTCAATTTATGCTTACTCATTGATTTCTAGACCTTTGAAAATGGTCATTATTTCATATATGTTTAAGAAGGATTCATTTCTAATTGCCACTATGCTAAGGCATGAGAATGACAGTAATTTTGTAATTATTTTAAAATATGCTAATCTCTGAGTTCCTTTTGAGTAGAAAATACTTTATACAGAAAGTATAGTGGTAGCAGATAGAGAGAAGAGCTCACTCTTCTTAACTGAGATACAAAGCAGCAATTGAAAACCCATGGGCATCAGAGATGAAAATATTGATGGGTGAACCTTAATTCCCAATCCTTTCTGACCAATTTCATTTGTAGTTTTAGAAATTTGCTATTTAGACATTCTAGAAAAGCATTGGTATTAAGCTAAACCTGAGAATAATATTGATAAGGTTAGATTTTAATATATGCCTATGAAATATTCTGATATTTTTAATGATAGTAGTAGAATCAAATGCTATGAACATAACAGTAACTTTTTATAAGATTTTCAGCTCCTTAAGGGCATACATTTGAATTCATTTGACACATCTTATTAGTATGCTCAGTGCTTAGTATAGGACTGTGTCACATATGCCTTTGAAACATTGTGGTAGTATTTGATACAAACAAAAGAATGTGTGGTGGTTATAGATAAATTATGGTGCAAATTAATTAAACACCTGTACACTCACTGCCCTACCTGAGAACAAATTGACCTGGTACTCTCAAGTCCGGTCCTGTGACTCTTTGCCTCCCTATTTTGACTTTTATCTGTATCACTTCAATGCATTTTAGAAAAGGGTTTTTTGAATCGCATATAGATATTCCTCAACAATATGTTGTTTTAAAAAACAATATTATGTTTTTAAAACCACTTTGTGGAGGTATGATCAATGTTAAAAAGCTGTACGTATTTAACGTGTACAACTCGATCAGTTTGGGGATGAGAGTATAAACCTATGAAACCATCACCACCCTCAAGGCTGTAGACATCTCCGTGACCCCCCGAAGTTTCTTCCTGCCCCTCTTACTACCTGTAGTGGGGACATGTGACATAGCATCTACCCTCTTAGCAAATTTTAAGTGTAGGATACAGTAACTGATAGCCACTATGCTGTGTTGTACAGATCTCCAGAGCTTATTTATTGTGCGCAACTGAAACCTCTTATCCCTTCACTGTCACCTCCCATTCCATAGGTTGTTTTTTCATTTTGTTGATTATTTTCTTTGCTGTGCAGAAGCTTTTTAATTTGATGTAATTCCTCTTGTTTATTTTTGCTTCTTTTTTCTATGCTTTTGGTGTCATATCAAAAGAAAAAAATTATCCCCAAGATCAATGTCAAGGAGCTTCTTTCTTGTTTTCTTCTAGAGGTTTTATGGTTTCAGGTCTTACATTTAAGTCATTAATCCATTTTGAGTTGATTTTTGTGTATGAACTAAGATAAAGGTGAATTTCATTCTTTTGCTTGTGGATGGACAGTTTTCCCAGCAACAGTTATAGATAGTGGCCTTTCCCCATTTTCCATTTTTGGAAGATTAGTTGACTGTATATGCAGGGGTTTAACAAATATATTATTGAGTTTTCTTGCTTTTGAGCTTTATAGAAATGGTATCTTACTGTAAGAAGTCTTCTATAACTTTTTTCACTTAAGATGTTCCTAAGATTCATCCATTCTCTTTCTTAAACTTCATTGTTTTCCCTGGTGTACAATCTTCTGTTGTGTGATGATACCACAGTTTGTGCATTTTTCTATTGCTGGACATTTGATTGTGTTTAGTTCATTATGTGCAGTGCTGCCATGAAATTTTTCCACCTGTCTCCTGGTGCTTTTGTGTATGTCTCTCCAGGGTATGTATCCAGGAATGAAATTGACCATTCTCGGGGTGTGTGTATATTCAGCTGAATGCAGAATTGTCTTTCTGAGTACTTGTGAAGAGGCTTCATGTTCTCACCTGTGGAATGTAAGAGTTAAAGAGTTGAGGGAGAAAGCAGTGACATCCATACGGGAGGTCCACCAGGAAGAGGTTGGCAAGTGAAGGGGTGCCTGCTGTGGGAGGGGTAGTTAGGAGGTCAGTGAGGAGAAGAGCAGTAGAAGATGGATTCTGAAAGGTAAGCAGAGTAGGGGAGTGAGTGTTGTATAGGACTTTGTCTGGCATTGACTTTTCAAGGCATTGACTTTTATTTGAGGGTTGTAGCTGAGGAATATCAAGGTCTGACTTCGGTTTTTAAAGCTCTCTCTGGCCATAGTGTTGAGAGTAAACTACAGAGAGGCAAGGGTAGAAGACAGAAAACAACTACTAGTCTCACACAGGGTGCTAGTGTGGATGCAGTACACTGTGTTAAGATTTTGGATGTATTTTGATGGTACCACCAGTAGGATATGCTGATGGGTTGGAGGTGGGCTATGAGAAAAAGAACCCAAAGACTTACTCAATTTTTGAGAAGTTGGACAGATGGAGTTGCCTTTAACTAACTAGAAGGGCTGGTGTTAAAGAAAGTTTTGGGGTGAAGATGAGAAGTTCATTTTT